TTTTTTTATGTGGTGCTGAGGATCGAACCCAGGCCGCACGCATGCCAGGTGAGCACGCTACCATTTGAGCCACATCCCCAGCCCCCAATACTAGTTATATAGAGGCAGGTACCCTACATGGACTTCCTCATCAAATCCCACATTTACATAAAGGCTAGTTCATACAATGAATCTCTATGCATTATTAAAAAAAATATTCAAAAATGTAAAACAATTGATGTTAGGGTCTGTAAACAAGTGAAGATGGTGCCTGGCATTGTTGTTCGTCCCCCCCTCCCCCCACCAGGTTATTTTGCTGCAGCTGGACTTCGGCAAATTGAAATGGATGTTAACAGTCATTTAAGCCAACTTCCAACCCACAAGTCAATCTCAACTGTGTTGTGCAATGATTAATCAATTTTGACTGGGCCCCTTCCATGGCCAGAAGATCCTTACCTCATCAGAGAGCTCATTTGTTCTCCGAGGGTTATAATGAAGAGTTCTCTTTTTATTTTTTATTGAAGTCATACCTGTCCTTATTGGATTCCTTTTGGAATCAAGCAGAAAAAGATGTATTTCTCCTTTGCATAGCCCTTCTAATATTTGAAGACCTGTAGTTCATCTCCTATTAGTCTTTTCTCTCATCTTTAAGATAAATATCTTGAGCATGTAGGCTTATGTTTTGTTTTTGTTTCTTCTTTTCCTCTCTGTACCCATCTCTCTTTTTCTCTCTTCCTCTAAGATGATGAATCTTACCCCTAACTCATGCAGGATTTCCCTGTGATATACCAAGAAGTGCATATTATTTCCAACAGTGTTGTCCTAGAACATAGTGATTGAAAGATGGCATCTTCATTATGAGAGTTATATTTAAATTGGTCATTTGATGAGGTATTTTTTAAATAAAGCTCCTTGCTTTCAATAGGAATATAGTTTATAATAGATAAAATGATGATCATTTACAAGTGAGCCCTAATTTTTACTTGCAGCTTGAATTTCATTGCTGAAAATGAAAAAAAAACCCAGAAAATTTTCAATAGGCTATAGTAAGAAAAATAGGAAGTGTTGTGTGTTTAGGAAATTTGCAAAGAATATCAGACTAAAAATAATATTTATATATACTCTCCTAACTCCACAAGAAACTGATCACTCCAAATTCATACCAGCTTTCTGGGGGTAATTTGTAGTGTGAAAGATTATTTGAGATGAGATATGATTCTTTAAAAAAAGTTTTGTTTTCTTTATTTCTTTTCCTTTTCTAGTTCCTACTCTATATAGATAAATATTTTGATAATTTTAAATATTTTGACTGGATTTAATCAATTTGTCTATTTCAAAAAACAAGTCAGTTAACATGGTGACATATATGATTCAAGGTATCTACAAGAGTCAATGAAACCATTCCTTAAAGATAAGAAAATAAAAATTTGTGCCATACTTACCAGTTTTTCTTTTTTATATGAATAATTACACATGAATTATATGCATGTGAATAATTGGAGTTTTAGGTTTTAAAATAATTAGATTTACATAAAAATGTATTTTATACATATATATATAAGCATACATATTTATACATACGTATTACATATATTTGTGGGTTTTTGTTTGTTCACTTTGTTTTATTTTTTCCCTCCAAAGAGGAAAAACCATCTTGGCTTTGTGGTAATTAATCCTTTTTTCCCTCCCTGGTTTTACTACCTGTGCATTCATAAATAATACATTGCTTTTTTTTTTTGCCTATTTTGAGCGTTAGTATAAATACTATTGTTTTTCTTATGTTTTGCTAAGACTTGCTGTTTTTGTTCAACATTATGTTTGTGTGATACATCCACATGAATGTGTGCAGTGTGATTCATTTATTTTTAATGCTGTGTGGATATATTATAATTTATTCATTCAACTGTTGATATACAATTGGGTTATTTCCAGTTTTTGCTTTTTCAATTGTTTTGTTTTTATCCATTAAAGACATCGTTGCTAGGAATATTCATGTGTCAAATGGTACACAGGTGCAAGAGATTTCTACTGCATAAATCTAAAACTGGAGGTGCTGCATTGTAAAGTATGTGAGTGTTCAATAATATAGTATAGTGAGTTAGGCCAACACATTTTTAAAGCAACTATGTCAACAGTATATAAAAGTTCTTCTTACTCCATATCCTTATAATTACCTGGTTTTGTCAGACTTTAAGTATTTTTGTCATCTAGAGAATATGTCCTGTATTTCATCGTGATTTTAATTTGCAAATCTATGATTAGTAAGATTGTACATTTTAAAATTTTTATGGCCATTTGGTTATCCCTTTTATTGAAATGTCTGACTAGATTATCTTTTTCATTATGATTCATAGACTTAAAATAATATTCTTGATATTAGTAATTTATTATTAAGAATGGTACAATATCCTTTGTTAATAGAATTTTTATACTACATCCATTTTTAAATTGGAGTTCTTGGCTTTAATGCAATGGAATCTATAAATCTTTTTTCCTTTTGGTTATTGCATTCTGAATATTGAGTCCTATTTAAAATTTTCTTCTTTACTCTGAAGGCATGAAAATATCTTTTCTAATGTACTCTAAAATATTTATTGCTTTGCCTTCAATTGCTATATTTTTAAAGTTAGCAAAGACATACATATGTTATATATGGACAAATTAAAATAAAAATTTTTATTTCTTGTTTCTAAAAACAGGACATTTGGTATTTATGGAGAAGAATCCTCTGTTTAGTCTTTGTAAACCAATTTTATGATTATAACCTATCTCTGTGTTGTTTTTTGTAAACTTATTTCTCTGAGTAATTTTTTTAAAAAGTTCTTTGTATTATTTTAACTGCTTAGAAACTAAAACAAATATTTGATTCTTCTATTGTTTGTTATATTTCACAGGACCAAATAATTTCTGGAGCTCTAGGAAATGGTATTTCAAAATTGTACAGAATACCTTCTTCCCTGAAGATCCCAGAACATTAAGACATCACTCTATCAGGTATACACAAACACTTTCTAAACTTATAATTTCAGCCAGAATATCTGACAATGAGGTGTCATTGGAAGGGTACATATCATAATTTTAATATTTCTCTTCAGGTGATGATAAATAATCTTCCTTTAGTATAAAAGTGTAGGATTACCTTTTCGATTCATGAAATAATCCTTCATTAGAGTTTAGTATGATCCCTTATGTTTTAGTGTCAGGTCTAAGAGAACTTTGCTTAACTCATTGTCGCAAATATTGTCTCTTAGGTTTTCTTCATAGAATTTTTATAATTTCAGCTCTTAAATTCAGTCTGTAATTCATTTTGTATTTGTTGTTGTGAATGTGTAATTTCATTCTTTTGCATGTGGATATCTGGTTCTTTTAGCACAATTTATTAAAAACACTGTTTTTTCTCCATTGGATTATTTTGGCAAATCAATTAACTATAGGTTTACTTAATATTTTTCTTGACTTCATGTTTGGATTTTCATTGTTAATATATAGATTACAATTGATTTTGTATTCTGAATTGATTTTGTATTTTGAATGCTTGCCCAACTCCTTTATTATTTCTAATAATTTTGATAGATTATTGGGATCTAATATATATGAATGCTTTTTATTCATTTTATTCAATATGGATGGCTTTTATTTATGTTTTTCTTGCCCTAGTATCCTGGCTAGAACTTCCAGAAAAATTTCCAGTAGAAGTTGCAAAAGTAGACATTCTTGTCTTGTTCCTTCTCTTAGAAGGAAATCATTCAGTCCTTCACTGTTCATTATGATGTTACCTAATTTTTTTGAGATGTTACATATCAGATTGAGAAAATGTCCTTCATTTCTTGCTCTGCTAAGTGTTTTCATCATAAAAGTATGTTAAAAATTGCCAGCTCCCTTTCTTGCACTATTGAGAAGAGAATACATTTCCCTCCTTTATTATATCGAAATGGTGTGTTATGTTAGCTGATTTTCAGATGTTCAAGAAACTGCATTCTTAGAAAATTCTCTCTAGTTGTCATACATAATTCTTTAAAAAACTGCTAGATTCAGTTTGTTAGTATTTTGTTGAGGAGTTTAGCATCTCATATTATCCAGAGTTATTGCCGGTAGTTTTCTTGTGAAGTATTCCTCTGGTCTTAGTATCAGGATAATGCCAACCTCCTAGAATTAGTTGGGGAGTGTCGATACATCCATATTTTGGAAAACCTGTGGAAGATTCATATTGATTCTTCTTTAAATGTTTAATAGAATTAACCAGTGGAGTATCTGAGACTGTACTATTCTTTATGGAAAGTATTAAAATTATTAATTCAACATCTTTATCTACTATAGATCTAGTCAAACTCTTGATTATTTATTAAGTCAATTTTACTAGTTTATGTCTTTCTAGGAAATTTCCATTTCATCTAAATTATTTGTCAGCAGATTAACTCTAATGGGATGTATTCTTCATAATATTTTGAAGTTGAAGGAGGAACAGAGTTTTGGTAAAAAATACAAAATCCAGCCCAAAAGATTATATAAAACTCTTATAATTCCACCATGGCTGGGCAAGGGGTTACCTTTTTCTTTAGGAAGCACAATTTCCATGCAGATGACCAATAGGCAGGAAGAAACGCTTACATTTGGTCTGTCTCTGCTCAGGAGCTTGTTGTTTTATTTCTGAGGCTTATGTTTTAGAATTTCCTTATTCTCACAATTGTGTAAGCCTCTAAAGAATCAGTTTTTATGACTAGGTTTAGTTGGATAAAGACAGGAAACAGTTATAGTGTTGTCTTTATGGAGCAAGGCATCTTTTTTAGCTCATTTTAATTTATGTTATTTTTCTTTTCTTTCCTTTTTTTAAATTTTTTTTTTTTGGTCCCAGAGACTGAATCCAAGATTACTCAATCAGAGAGCCACATCCTCAGTTCTCACTAAATTGCTTAGGGCCTCACTCAGTTGCCAAGGCTGGCTTTGAACTTGTGATCCTCCTGCCTAAGTCTTCCAAGCATCCGGGATTATACGTGTGTACCACTGTGCCCAGGAATTTATTATATTTTTAATTGAAACATGAAGTGGAAATTCATCAGCATTTTTTGTGCATAGTACATATATAGCTCTTTGAGTTACAAACGTGAGTTTTACCCAGGATTGGTCTCCTTAAATGGCTTGGGAATATGGAGTCTCTTCCTCCTGGTCAATTTCATTGCCAGGGTATGAGAGCAGGTGGTACTTATTATGTATTTTAATTCCATCTTAGTTGTGTTTTGTTCACTTGGGGGAGGGCTCTAATACTATGAAGGCTGGCCTTGGAAATTAAGAATTAAGTCTGACATAACATTTAGAGGAGGAGTTGTCATGGTTATAGTTCATTCTATACTGTCTACTGACTCTGAGGTAAATATTGGTGTCCTGCAAACAGCTACTTTGTTCTTTCAATTTTCCCTTTAGAGAGTGCTCAGCAGACCAGCATCACTGGCATTCCATGGACTCAGAAATAAAAATCTCAGACCCCATCCCAAACTCCCTTAATACAAATTTTCATTTTAAGAAGTTCCGGTGATTTCTAAGCCCATTGAAATCCAGTTCTTTGTATAATGGGATCTTTATATATACTCTTACAGTCTCATCTCTAGACTTAAGCTATAAAGGGCTAACCTTGAATACACTTTTTTTTTTTTTTGTTACGGTTCAGAAATAGTAATCAATGCACTGAGAAGCAGCTGCAAAATATATTTGAGACTGAAAGTACTGTGGGTACTGCAACTAGCTAGTCCTTTCAAGGGTAAAAACACTTAGGGAAGATCTTGCACTGGGAGAATGGAGGACCCATTTGAATTTATGGGAAATTCTCATCCTTCAGAGTTTCATCCTCAGTGACAGGGGCCATTATAGGGAATTCCTATTTTCTCTCATTTTAGTCACAAGGCAAGAGTTAGCTCTAATTCTCAAGGAAATGCAAAATATGTATATTTCTTGCACAGCAAGATGATTTTAATTTTCTCGTTTCTGTGATTTACTTTTCTAATTTATCTCAGTTTCTGCTCTTTCTATCTCCTCCTACGTCTCTATTGTCTGAATCATATTCTAGTCCTGAATTACCAGGCTTCCTCGGCAGCCCCAGTCAGCCTTCTAGGGCACAGTGAATGCAGCTGATGCCAATTATGCAGAGTCAGTCCAGGTGCCTAGATAAGGTAATAGAGGCTTTGAGAGTGAGATTCAAAGTTGGGGAACCAGAGGCTGAGCAGCAACAAACTCTGGGGGCCACAGCTTATTGGTGTTTAAAGGTGGGGTATAAAGAATCTTCTTTGGATTCAACTCAATAAAGGGATTTAATTTTACTCCTTTTATAATCAAGATTCTGGGCTTTCAGAGGCTTTGTCAGGGAACATCAAGCTTCCGAGAGTTGCTTGTGATTGTTCTGTGGCTTCACGAGGGACAACTGTTCAGAGTTGCCTTGTATCAGCAAGGTGGCTGGGAAGTTTATCCTAATGCCTGCAAAAGAGGAAAGAGGCCCTGGATGTTAGATCCGCTAACAGATCCTAGAAGTTAGTGGAACTAATTATTAGTATTAGAGTGAAATGGGGCAGGGTGCCAGGTCATATTTATGTCTGTTCAGAGAGAATCAGCCATTCTCATGAATTGCTCAGTTTGGAAATATTTGTGAATAAATTATATTTTAACTTCATAGATTTATGCCTCAACGTGTAGAACACTAGATATTTCATATGCCACGTAGACTAGGAGATCATCGAGTGCAGAGACCCAAATTCATGGCTTTTTGTTTTTTGAGAAGTTAGTAGAGAAATAATAAATATTCATAAATACCTTTTGATTTTTCTTTTTAAACTAAGCAATTAAATTCAAGCTAAGCAATTTTCTACTTCCTCTCGACATGTTCAATGGAGGATGATTTCCCAAATTAAATGAGAAGTAAGATTATATTTAGAAAACTTTTCTTCATTTTGTCATTTATGAGTGAGTTATTTTATCTAAGGCTTCTTTGCGGTTCTCACAGACTTAATGTCTTGAAGACATCTTAGAACTGGTTTTCTTTATAGCATATTTGTGTCCATACATTTGCTGTAACCTGAGTGTATTTATATTCATGTTTCATCCCAGTTCAGGTTTATGAGATTACGAAATTGTTGTAATATCCAATCCCTGGATTAGAGATGGCGATGGGGATGGGGTGAGGGAGGGAGGCCCCATGCTTCTTATCGACCCAGTTTGAACCTGGGTGCATCCATGCCTTTGATCTTGGCAAACAGGTTTTACACAGCTGCCTAGAAAGGGCTGCAGAAGAACATAGTCACCTAGAGTCAATAGTGTAGTTAGAGGAGCAGGGAAGGGAGAAGAGGCTCAGAAATGATTCAGTCACTTCTTATTCCAGAGCTGATGGGATTACAAGCATGCACCACCCCGTCCAGCTCAATGTTTTTTCTCTATCTTGTAACGTCTAGCATCAGACTCTTAGGCTTGAAAGGAAACTAAATTGTCTTTTAGAAAAATTGTGTGCTTGTGTGTGGTTTTAATCTATCCTAGGTCTATCTTCTGCAGATATCTATTTGGTAGCTTTTCCTCTTCCTCAGAACTGACAAACTCCAGAAAAACCATTTATTTACCATTCAGAGAAGTCCTCTGTGTGTTTTTGGAGCTTTCAAAGGCTTTGCCACTATTGGTTCAATTTCTGTGTTCTGGTTGCTTTCCTTATTCTCGGGCCCCAATTCTTTCCTCTTACTCTTCCACATCTCTCTCTCTTCTCAAGTTTGCATATCTAGTCACAGATCACAGGTACTGTCGGCTGCCCTAACTCTATTAATACTATAGAGGTACCGCATGTATTCAAGAGTTTTGTTTATTTGACATTCAAGGTTATGTATTCTAGTTCCTGAATCAAAACTTTATAATATGTCTAGTTACAATTTTTCCTTTCATATCAGTGATAAAGACTTATAAATTATAATAGCCAAGAAGTTGTATTAGAAAGACTGCACTATAAAGGACCTTCCAGAAAAAAAGCAGCTGTTATCCCAGCAGTGTCTTTTAATTTTTTTTATTAGTTGCTCAAGACAATACAATGATCTTGACATATCATACATTTGATTCAAATATGGTATGAATTCTCATTTTTCCATGTGTACAGATTGCAGGATCACATTGGTTATACAGCCATGTGTATACATACAGCAATACTATTGTCAGTTGTATTCTGCTGACCTCCCTATCCCCCCTCCCCTCTCCTCCCCTCCCTCCTATCACCTCTCTCTACCCAAACTACTGTGACACTTTTCTCTCTCTCTTTTTTCCCTTCCCCCTCACACCATCGTATATGTATTTTAATTTTTTTATGTTATTGTTATTTTTTGAATATAAGATTTTTCAGTGGATATATTGTTTTTATTCTATTCTTTTTCAAGTAATTGTTATTTCTATAAGTTTATGTAATTATTACACTTATGGATTCAATGATTTTTTTTATTATATATACAGGCATAAGATCAATTAATTCATCATAAGATAGGTTAATTTCCATTTCCTTACGTTTTTTTTTGTTCTTCCTTTCTTTTATTAGAAATACGTTTGGAATGGACCTCTTATTCATGTAGGTTTGGCTTTTATTAAGTGTATTTCCTTAGAAATCATTCCTGTGAATAGGGTTGCTGGGTCAGAGAACATAAATGTCTTTTTAAATCAAAGAAAAAATGTTAAACTTTTAATGCTGCCAACTGTGCAAGTTTATGAAAGTTTTACAAAGGCTTTGAGCATTAGCTATTCTAATTTAAAGATATTTTAATACTTTGATGATTAAATTGTTACTTCAAGGTTGGTTTGACTTGTTTTTGTGTCTTTTTTTTGTTTGTTTTGTTTTGTTTGAGCTGGGTATTAAACTCAGGGTCTACTGCTTGCTAAGCATATGTTCTACCACTGAATTATCAATAATCCCATTAATTTGCTTTTCTTTTAATATATGCTTACTCGTTGTGTTTTCTTTTGTATGGATTCTACTTACATTATAAAGTGTGTACTTCTCTTCTCCATCCATCCTGAAAGTTAAAGCAAATTCCACTTAGGAGGAAGGGATTTTATAAATATAAATAAATTACCCAATACCAAATTTGGTACTGGGTATTGAATCCAGGGATGCTTAACCACTTAGTCACATCCCCAGGACCGACCCCCCTTTTTAAAAATTATTTTAGAGTCTTACTAAGTTGCTTAGGGCCTTGCTAAGTTGCTGAGGCTGGTCTTGAACTTGCAATGCTCCTGCCCCAGGCTCCCAAACTGCTGGGATTATAGGGCTCCATGCCCAGCTGGGATTTTATGTATTTTTTTGCACTAAAAAATTATTTTGATATATTAACTATATTCTAGATTGAATTTTCTAAGGAACTCATACCCTTGATTACATTTAAATTTTTTGAGAGTTTATTTTTGATTTTTGTATCAGTCAGTAGAAATGGCATAAAATTTTATTTCACTTTTAGATAAGTATCTTAAATAGCACAATGGAGGTCTTTTGGACCATGGAATTGAAAACTATATCTAAGGAACTGGACATATGGAATACCTTTTATCAAATTCCTGTTATTTACTGGGCATCCACTTGAACCATGCATTTTTAGAAACTTTGACACAATTGTGACCTGGCTCAGATCATGCCAGGAAAAAAACTTTGCCTTCTGGTCTGGGAGAAAGAATAATGGGTAATTATAATAAGTACACTATCATAAGAGAAACAAAATGAAGAGACATTTCCAAGGTGTTGTCTCCAGAATACCAAAGGAGGCCAAATGAAGTGTGAAGGGAGGCATTTATTCTAACTTGGGGAATTAAAATTGGCTTCCTAGAAGAAATTATGCTTAAATAGAGATCTGAAGGATGATCAGGGTTTTCCTGCTGCATCTAAAAGTTAGGCATATGTATATGCACTCTGTTGTCCTCTTTGTTATTATTTTTGGTCTTTGTGGGTGAGCACTAATAGGGAGTTTTTGTCTTTTCTCAGAGGCATACATCAGCATCATTGGAAGAGTCCAGCCCCATGGAGAGAAGCCAGGCAGAAGCCCCAAAGGCCAAACTCCTCTACCAGGAGGTGTGCTTGGCAGCTCAGCAACTTGACCTTTTCCTTCAAAAGGGAAATGCCCACAAAGAGGTATTCAAACCGCACATCCTGGCCCTCAGAGATATAGTTCAGCAAGCTTGCATTAAACTCATGTTCTTATACCCAGTGGCTTATGGCAGAAAGGCAGAAGAGCTGTTATGGAGGAAAATGTACTCTGATGTTGTCATGCTGCTAATGAAGGACAACAGAAAACACACGCACACTTTTAAACACTGGGAAGGCCCCTTGCAAGCTCACCTGAAAGGTGGCCTTAAATTCTATGAACATCTCTTCCTGTTCCTCCAGGGTCACTATGAACTGAGGTTACAGAGCTGTATAGATTGGCCTCACAGTGCCATCCACTTGATTGGCTATAGGAAGGTAGGGCCCACGTCAGAGGAAGAGGTCACCTGGGCTCGAATGGCCTGCCATCGCTGCCTGCTCTATTTGGGAGACTTGTTCCGATATCAGAATGAGTTCCTAGACCTGGCCACTAAGGACTTGGCAGAGAGATGTTATTACAGAGCCCTGTCAGTGGCCCCGCGTATGGGAATGCCCTTCAACCAGCTGGGAGCTCTCATGGGGAGCAAGTACTATAATGTTGAAGCCACATACTTCTATCAGTGCTGTCTCCACTCAGAAGTACCTTTTAAAGGGGCAGCTTGGAACCTCAAACAGCTCTATGACCATGCAGGGAAGAGGTACAGCAGTCTGAAGAGGTACCAGGGAAAGAGACTATCTCGAAGCCAGAGGCAGTGTTGGGATAACAAGAGGCTGCTGGTTAGCTTCCTCTATCTTCAGAGCCTCCTGCAGCCTCAGAAGAAATTCAGAGTGGCCAGGTTGATAGCCCTGTGCCAGTTGGTTCTGGAAGACTTTCGTCTCTGTCTGTCTTATCGGCTGAGTCCACCTAACCCGTGCCAGGTTTCCACACAGGGGAAGCCCCCCAAAGGCTATCTGTTTCTCCCGGACCTCCTCATCTTCCAAATGGTGGTACTTTGCCTCATGAATGTGCATGGCCTGAGGAAAACAGGCTCAAAGCAGCATAAGCCAGCTGTCATCTTCACCCTGACTCTCTTCTCTCATCTCATTCAACATGTCAATGCACGGATCCAAGCTGAACTCCAGAAAGGGAAGCTCACTCCAGACCTGGCTGCCCCCAGGGCTGGAAACCAGGAAAAAGAGCCTGGGAAGGGTCAACAAGACTTTCCAACCCTGGGGCCCCACCACAGAAGATCCCAGAAAAGCCATCGGTGGTCATGTGCTTGTAGTGAGGGTTACAGCTCTGAGGCTGGTTTTCATTCCTGCTGTGACTCTGATGAGACAGAAGATGAGGAAAGCACCTCCTTGAGTTCACAGGTCCACTCTGAAACAGACAGTGAAACTTCTCATTCGGATATAGCTGATGAAGGAGGGAATGGATCCCTGTACTCAGAAGCAGTGCAGGAAAGGGAGACCATATCCAGATACAAGACTGCCAGTCCCAGGCATGAAACTCCCAGTAGTCTCCTCTGCCTCCTGAAAACAACTATGCCTGCTAAGCTGCCAGCTCCATTGAGCCAAAAGCTGCCAGGAGGACATGGCTTGCACCTGGCCCCTGCCTTTAGTCGCAGTGCCCTGAAGCTTCAGTCTGAGCTAAGCCCTGCCTCTGGAAGTAGCTCTGGCTTTGAGGAGGATATGAGCAGCTTTCCTGAGACTGAGAGGCACACTGGTTCAGATGTGGGGCAGAGTGCCTCCCTTGACCAGTCTTACACAAGTCTCCAGACCATTCAAAAGAAATTTAAGGTTCTCTCTGCAGAGGGACTGCTTCCCACCATCAAGGTGATCCTGGGCTGGCTCTGCACCAACCATGCCCTCCTTGCCTCCCATTGGCGGAGTTCTCTTAGCCTGTGGGACCACCTGTGTGTGCTGCTGAACCTGCTGCCCTCGGTGGGTGACCTTCAGCAACCAGACCTGGGCCTGTCCCACCATCTCCATGATTTGCTGCAGAGCTGTACAGGCCCACACACCTCCAGATTCCTGCATCTCCCTGAGGACATCGCCCTGTCTCAGCTCTGTCCAATGCAGGCTTCCCTGGAGACAGTGGGATTCGAGAAGGACCCACCTCCACTCAGTAACCAGGATGAAGCTGCCCTGCGCATCTGTTTCCTGAGAAGTTTTGGCCACTTTGCAACCAGACTCCCAGAACAGTTCCTGAGGTTCGACTCTAAGTTGGGTGTGTTTGTGAGCAGTACACCTGGAGGACCAGAAAATCCATCTCGGCAGCTTCCTGAGAGAACTTCCAGGATCAGGTTTTCCAAAGACATAGTCCAGCTCTGGCTTCAGCGTGAAGTGGTGCTTCTGGAGAAGACCCTCAGGGGCCCCCAGACTCGGTCAGCTTTGACCTCTTACCTATTTCCTGATCCTAGGGCTCTGTGTGAGCATCTTCCAGTTATCCAGCAGCTTGCCACAAGTGGTCAGTTTTTCCTCATCATACCAAAAATTGTGGTTGACACACTGTATGTCCTGAGAAAGGAAGATCGAAAGGTCTTGGCAGCCATCACCTTCCTAGAAGGTGAACTGAAGAGAGGGAACCAGAACATTCTGTGCCAGTCCTTTGTGTCTGAGAGGTTGTTGAGGCCCAGGATGATCAGGCCAGATTCTGATGCCTGGGACCTCTTTAATATTCTCGACTTCTGCAAAAGTCTGCTGGATTCATCCAGGCCAGGGACACCTGATCCCAGCAGCATGGTGACTATCATCACTGGCATCTGTTTGGACAACCCGAGGAATTTCTCGTACCCCCTGCAGCTGGTGCTGGGGACAGCAACCGAAGCGGGTGTGGAAATCAAGAACATCCTGCACTTCTACAGAGAGTGGAAGGCTATCAGCTGACATGGCCATCTCTCTCTCCTTCCTCCTCCTTCAGCATTTATGGATCATAATTCCATGTGTTTCTCTCCTGTAAGCACCTAATGTTAAGGTAGATATTGTGTGAGTGGATATCTGTGTCTACCCCTAGTTAGAGGTTTAGTTTACTAGCTTCCAGAGGCCTTCTTATTTCTGTTTTTTTTTTTTGTCATCTTGGCTTGATACTATGTTCTCTTTCTGAAAATATCAAGATTGCCTCAGCGCTTAGTGTTCTTAGGGTAAGGCAGCAGCTTCAGGTCTTGCTCCCAAGAGCACACTTAGCTCTGTGAACGTTCTAATTTGCTTAGCTTTGTATTGTGACTTGGAACTTTTAATGTTGTTTTTATGATGGAACTGTGCCTTTGATTGTAGGTAGGCCTCTGTCATCTCTGAAAACTCAATAAATATAAAACTAAAATTCATGACTGTGGTGAAGGATTTTATTGCAATTTCTGGTCATGGCTTCCTTATTCTATGCTTGGTTTAGATTTTTCACTTTTGGGTAGAACTGGGTCAGTTGTCCATATTGCTATAGTAATGATTTTTGCTTTTATGTTCCTCTGAACATAATAGGAAGACCTTCAAGGACTGGCAGATTCAGTTCTACTTTTGTTAACTTGGGAATAGATATTTCATGGCATTACATTGGCATTTATTCCTGTATCCGCTCAAAATTTTCAACTTTGGTTACCATGAAATTTGTCTCTCTCTCTTTTTTTTTTCCTTCCTGGCTCTCAGATATCTTTTGATACATCTCTTCAACTTCCTACTTGGTACATATTACAAGGAAAAACTTCCTATGATTAGCGAAATGTGGATGTATATCCTGTCAATAATACATGAAATTAAAATCCCCAACTTGGGCTGGAGATGTGGCTCAAGTGGTAATGTGCTTGCCTGGCATGTGAGAGGCGCTGGGCTCTATCCTCAGCACCACATAAAATAAAAGATGTTGTGTCCACCGAAAACTGAAAAATAAATATTAAAAAAATTCTCTCTCTATATTTAAAACAAACAAACAAACAACCCACAACTTGATTCTCACAGAAATGTGTTGAAAGGATTAAAATCAACATCTTCCCCTCTGATAATCTCCAGTGTTCTTCACTGATAATCATCACATTTTAAGGCCAAACTTAATACACTGTCAGGATGCCAGGTTTTTGAGGCCCCTGCAGCATTGCTGGCTTCTCACTTACAGCCTCAATCCAGCTGCTGTCCTCACGTGCCGAGAAATCCCATGCTTAGCTCATTGTGCACTCCTGGGTTCTCATGGTTTTTCTCAGTTGTCCTAAACTGAGCCTCTGTGTTTCAGTTAAACTTCCTGTCACTTCCCTGTCTCAATTTTTCTCTCCTCCTTCCAGCATTTTATTATATATTTTAGAAAATTATGACAAACTAAAAATTTAAAAGCCCAAATGTGGTTTCTCTCCTGACATTACAGCTTTTGTTGTTTTATTTATACCCTGTCATGTTTCTGCTGCATACAGGTTTTTTTTTTTCTATTTGTAATTATATTCAATAAATATCTTCTGAGCCTACTTTTATTTAAGTTACAAAAACTTCTAATATTGTTGCATGATCTTCCTTGCCTCCTTTAATTGCTGCTTCCTATCATTGTTTACTTAAGTATTCATTTTCTTTTAAATATTTTAGTATTAGATTATTAATAATTATGTAATAAAATTTTTTGTATTTGAATTAATTCCTTGAAATAGATGATCAGCATTGATTTATTGAGTGGGAGATTATTAGTGTTTTATACAGAAAAAAATAATAATTTATCACAATGGAAGAGTCCCCCTTTCAAAAAACTTGGTTGACAGGTTCTGTATTGCATTTGGAAACTTCATCAAATAATAAGAACAGGGTGAAGCCGTGACAAACTAGGACAAGGCTTTCTGTCAATATTGTAGATATTGTAGTTGTGTCTCATAGTGGGTTTGGGTTCCTTCAAGCACATTCTGTCCCTTGCTGCTAGAACTGGTCATTTCAAAAGCCCCTGGTGGCTGCAACACTGAAGCAGAACATGCCCTCAGAGATCAGCAATGTGTGGCAGCAACTAAACCATCCAGAGTTTGGCTAATTTAAAAAAAAAATAATTTTTACATGCAGGGAACATGGCCCCTGTTGTTTCCTGTAATATTCCTTGCTTTCTCTTAGGTATTTTAAAATTATAGGTACTTAGCTGGCCATCAGCAGACACCCTCATTCTGAGCTCTGAAAAACAGTGAAGAGCATTGACTGATGTTTATGTTCTAGGTGTCTATTGTATGGCTTGCTTATTACTGGTTGCCATAAAAAGAATCTGGCTAAACTCATGGAAAAGCCATGAGGCAAAGAGAAAGTGAGTATATTATTAAATGACTGGACCTCATTTTGCTTACTTAGAAGATGAGCACATTGAAGTCAATCCCTGCCGGTGGAATGAGCCAGGCAAAGTCCTTTAATGAATATCTTAGGTTACTTATTGTTTCTTCTTATTCTAAAAGTATTTTTCATCTAATAATACTGCCTTTTGGCCTAGGCCTCCTGTGGAATTGTGGACATGTTTATCTCAATCTATGTCTCCTCTTAGCTTTCTCTCCTCTTCATTATTGAGGAATGATATACTTGACAGAAAGAATTTTTAAACAGTATAATGCCTATATTTTAGTAGAGGGATGGAGACTCTGCTGAGGAAAATAATTCTAAGAAGCTTGTGCCCTGTCATGGGACTTTCTGAAAGAAGTAGCACTATAAATTCAATAAGAGAGAGTTTGTCACCAGTTGAAGCTACTGCTTAGATGGCTTTAGTGGGAAGGGAAACTTCTATGAGCCAACTGGCTTCTAACTTTCTTTTCACCCTAGAAACTATGGAAGAAGGCAAAACCAGTGCAAAGCCTGCAACTAATAAGTGATTTACCTGATACTTTATTACAGATATATCTGACTGACAATATATCCCAAGTAGATCTGGCTTGATTATAAACACCCAGAAATGTAAGAAATGTAGTAAGTAGGCAGGAAAAGGGAGTCTCAGTGAAGGTCAGCAAGAATCTAGAGGATGGTGGGCCACCTGGATAACCTCCCTCTTACCCCAGCATAGTGTCATGGTGATTTACAAATTTTCACCTTTATCCAGATGTTGCAGGGAAGAGAAAGTGGGGTAGGGGAGCAACACCCCAGATTACAAGTTTCAGCTTTGTATTGAGAGGATATTCACCCAAGAAGAAACTGCTTCCAATGGGAAGACACTAAGTTATCTTTACTAAAATTGTCCACATTGGCTGAAATAGTTTGAAGGTAAGTTATGACCAGACAATAACTACAGCTGGATATCTCTTTCATACATATGAGGTACAGGGTATAAAATTTAGTCTCCCTATAAATGTGTGCTATATGTGCTTTTTAGGCAGCCACAAGCTATATTTATTGAGATTGAATAATATAGTTTGACTATAATAATTTTCCTGTAAACTTAAGACTCATATTTCACCTGCCTTTTTATATCTCTGCTGGATTTTTCCATATATTTGAAATTCAACACATCTAGAAGTGAAGTCACTATTTTTAAACTAGACATTTTCCTTGTGGTCTTTAAGTTGAGAAGTGGCATTTAGGTAAGTTTAAAACAGTGGTTCCATTTCTATCTAATACCTCTCCTTCAATGAAAACAAATGATAAATAAACACACATGCCAAAAGAAAAGAAAATAAATCATATGCATGTATATATTCTTTTCAGGAAATAGGCTTATGGTTGACAAATCTGAATCTGCAGGAAGGGGGCAGGATGAAAGCCTTAGGTAGGAGATGATGCTGCAGACCCAGGCAGAATCTCTTTCATCGGGGACACCAATTTTGCTCATAAGTTCTTTATGATTTTTCACTGATTGAATGAGGCCTACCTCATTACTGAGATAGTCTTTACTTAAAGTTGGCTCACTGTAAATATTATATCTACAAAATACCTTCACAGCAACACTAGATCAATGTTCAATTCAATAACTGGGAACTTAACCTAATCAAATTGATCCATAAAACCAAGCACTACACATCTACAATTTCTCAACATTTTTTGAGTGATCAGTAAACATTCATAACAATGTATGGAGTTTATGATCAGTTCCAGATACTGTGTTTGCTGCTGTGGATCCACGAAAGGTAAGACATTTTCTGTCCTCAAAGAGATCAGAGTTCCTAAATAGAAATTGATACATTATCAAATACATCATAGTCACTTAAGTATGAACAAGATGTCATGGGTTGGAGGGGTGATAGTGAGAACGCCATAGAGGGTTTTCAAAAAAATATGCTTACCTTAAGTGTTTCTGGGTCTAGTGTTTCAACCCATCATCCCTACTGTAGTCTACGTCCTTGTCAACAGAAATTGACAAATTCCTGTCTCTGCCTAACTGATCCTGCCACCTGCGTCTGCAGTCCTGTTCCACCTCCCCCTGGCCACCTGTGTTATTGTGCTCTTATGTGCCTCATCACATCTGTCTCTTCATTAAAATGTGCTCATTGCAGGTGAAGTCCAAATGCCTTAGTATGCTGTGAAATATTCAGGATTAGATGTGCTCAGTATATTATTTCTAACTTCATTCAGCAGCGTGTCCTCTCCTTCATACACTCTGTTCTCCAGCACACCAAGCAATGTTTTTAATCTACTCATATCCAAATATTTTTGCACATCGTTCCCTTCATTCCGGAATGCCTCCTTTTCCATGTCATCTAGCATGATTTTATTTATTTTTCTAGACTCATTCCAAATATCTAAATATCTCCTCTAGGGTAATTTTTAAAAAATATATTTTTTTAAGTTGTAGATGGACATAACTTTAATTAATTAATTAATTTTTAGTAGTGCTAAGGATTGAACCCATTACCTCATGCATGCTAGGCAAGCACTCTACCACTGAGCCCCAGCCCCAGCCCCTCCTCTCAGGTAATTTTTGAGAGTGGCTCATTCTTCTCCCTTCTGTCCTTTAATTGCATATGTTACTGTATTGAAATTAATTGTCTTTCTTTCTTACTAAACCACAGGCTCCATAGTGGAAAGAACTCTATTCCTATATTTGGCACCATTCTCCCCCTTATGCCTGCCCAAACTCAACACGACACATTTTTATATTTTTCAATCAAAAATTGTACTTTTTCCTCAATTGGGGTCTTAATGTTACTATAAGTTCTTTTAAAGAACATCGAAAATAAAGCCTAATAATGGTTAGAGGGATTCCTGACAATTAGGTATTATTTCTTGCTTTTGAGGTCAAGGCTGCACTCAAACTTGGAAGATCTAAATTTGAGTCCTTTGTCATTTTCTCTGTAATCTTTTTTTGGTGGGGAGGTACCAGGGGTTCAACTCAAGGTGCTTTACCACTGAGCCACATTTCCAGTATTTTATATTTTGAGATGGGTCCTGGCTAAGTTGCTGAGAC